TCAGAGAAAGAGGCTAATTTTTCAAAGAATTATTTATTTAATTTTATTTGTTATTATTATTTTTTAAAATTTGACCGGAGAGAAACAGAAAGATAGAAAGGAAAAGTGACAAGGCAAGCCACCAGGTCCAGGACTCGAACCACAGTCGGCCATGTGGGAGTCCAGTGCCTTCACCACCATGCCACCTGTTGGCCCTTAGGAAGAGGTTAACTTTAAAAAGTAAATATGACCAGGACCAGCAGTTAGCATAATGGCTATGTTGCTGGACTTCCATGTAGTCGACTGCAGTTCAAGTCCCAGGCCCAGAGACAGGAAGACAGAAAATGAAAAATCTCTCCCTAAGGAAGATGGGTATGCCATACTCCCTTTTCCGACGTTCTCCTCTTGGGATTTTAGGCACACACATAAGCACCCAGTGTGAGTTTTCAGCTGCCAGGTCCATCTCGATACATGGTTAGCCACGTGGGAGTCCAGTACCTTAACCACCATGCCACCTGCTGGCCCCCTCTAATGAAGTGTTTTTTTAATTAAAGTTTTACGTGATAATACCAAACACTTATTTGAGACATTGCACACGTTAACTGTAATCTTCAATATAAACTTACTGCTGTCTGTTTTACAAGTGAGAAGACTGATGTGCCGAATGACTGAATGACTCGCTCGACATCTTACGGCTAGTAAAAGGCAGAACTGGAACTCAAACCCAGACGGTCCCAGCTGAGACTTAACAAACGTAGCTGCCGAGCTGCAGCTCCTTTCACACCCAAACACAGAGCCTATTCTTTGATGTTCACGGGGCGGAGTTAGCCAGGTTCTTAGAGCATAGTGTAAAACAAACAAAACTAGCCTAGAGTATGGTTAAGGCAGCTGGATCCCACATGGCCTACTGCAGTTTGAGCCCTGGGCCTGGAGGCTTGGGAAACACACTGGAAGCACGTGTGTGTGTGTGCCTAACACCCCAAATAGAGAAGTGCTGATGGGATTGAGGAGTGACCCTCCCCCTCAGGGCGCATGCTCTCACTTTCCCTCTCTCTCTGTTTCTGTCTCTCTGGTGAGTGCACATGCCCTAGCAAATTAAAAACAAAGGAAAAAAAGAACACTGTACTTACTTGCCTGCTGCTATCTCTGGATAAGAAATGGTGGCTCTGCATACAGTGGCCTTCTTTCGTTGACTTATTCTGGACACATTGCCTCGCCTGGGGCTTTAGTGAACCACAAAACCACATAACCTCACACATGGCAATGGGTAACTCACGTGATCCATCAGGGGTAAATAGCTGGAAGCGATTCTGATGCACAGAGAGGAATACGTCACTCTGTTAAGTTTGTCTAAAAGTTCGGAGAGGGACCAGCAGTTAGCGTAATGGCTATGTCACTGGACTCCCATGTGGTCGACCATGGTTCGAGTCCCAGACCTGGTGGCTTAAACTCACGCCGGGTGCATGTCCGTGTGTACCCAAGATCCCAAGAGGAAAATGGAGGAGAAGGGATTGCGGGGTGGCCATCCCCCCTCAGGGGTGATTTCTCGCTTTCTGTGTCTCTCTGTCACTCTGTCTTTCTGGTGAGTGCACGTGCCCTATAGCAAAACAAACAAACAAACAACAACAACAACAAAAAAACAAAACCAAAAAACTCTCCAAAAAAAAAAAGTTTTCGGAGGGTGAGCAAAGCCCGAGTGACCATCATGCTGTTTCTGGAGAGAAAGGCACCCAGGATGGGTGTGACATGCTGCAGGAGCTTTCTATCTAAGTGTGAAAGGAGGAAAGGGCGTATTTGAGAACCACAAGGAGGTGAGCTGACCTTAGCTGCACTCTCTGAGTCTGGGCAGTCCTGGCGTGTGCTGGAGCTGACCCACAGGGGTGGACTGTCAAAAGTTTTATAAGCCGATCCCTTAAAAAGCTATTAAAAAATTAAATTATCTGAATTTATAGTTGAAATAATGATAAATTATCTTTTCTGTTTGTCTGCTGTTTTGCATGTGATCAGCAGAGAGAGTCAGAGGGAGAGAAAAGAATGGCCACACTGCCATCTCATCTCCCCCAGTCTCCTCCTGAGATTTTGGGCATGCGCACACACGTACCAACAAGGATTTCCAAACTGCCAGGTTCTAGACTCAAATTGTATAGCGGGCCATGTAGGATCCAGTGCTTTCTTCCCTACCACCTGCTGGGCCTCCACTCCCAATTCTTTTGCTCTATTTTACCATTACCCATGCTCTGGAGTCTGAACAGTAGGAGTATTCAATAATGATGTGCTGTTGGACATCTCTTCTCAAGGCCATGTTTAGTGACATTTCTTTACCAGCCTAAAGTTAGCCATGGTGGGAACATTTACACCAGCGGAATTGGCCTTCCTTCCACAGAGCAGGTTGCTATATATTTACTAGCACAGTGCTGGCAATATGATCTCTGAAGTACATGACAGTGACCCAGAGAGCTGCAAGAGCTGCTGAGGCAGGCCTTGGGAGTCAACTGCAGATCAGAGCTAACGAACAAGAAGGCAAAGGAGAACACAAAAATGAGTCTCCAAAGAAGAGAAAGAAATATAGGAAGAAAAGAAGAAAAAGGAATGAACATTATTGACCAAAATAACAGCTTGAAGGAAACTAAACAGAGTGAAGGAGCCCACTGTGTCTGGTGGAAAGTTGCATCCTTACTGAGCGTATATGAAACCTTAACCCAGGTTAGTCTCCACTGCTTCTCTTCCACTCTCCTGGCTAGCATTGGCCCAGATTCTCCCTTTCAGCTGTTTAATAACGTTAGGAAGAACACTGGGCAAAGTAAGAGGTATCTTGCCGCTTGCTAACAGAATGTAACTGTCAGTAAATCCATTGTCGTCTATGAAGTTTGTACAGCAGGCAGACCACGGCTCATGTCATTCCAATCCAAATCGGAGACCCACTGATGGGCTTCAAGCATCCAGAGGCTTCACTCTATAGGTAACAGGATTTATTACTAGGTTATTATTAAACCAAGCACAACTTATGGAACACCTATGCTCTCAACATTGTGCAAAGTACTTTAGAATTTAAAATGACAACCATAAAGCCATGATTAGACTCTGGCCTGGAAGGCAAGAACCTTTTCTGTGAGTCAGTGGGAAGCAACAGAAGACAGGTTCTCACCCTACCCTGTCCTAGTCACAGAGGGCTTTTGAAACACAGTCTGGTGGATCGCATTCCCAGAATTTCTGATTCTGTGGACCGAGGGTGGAGCTTGACTATTTTGCATTTCTACCACTTTTCAGGTGATACTGATGGTGACACTTTGAGGACCACTGGTATGAAATACTAGATTAGCCAGTGCTCGGTGCCAGCAGGTGGCATAGTGGTTAAGGCCTTGGCCTCCCACATGGTCCATCTCGGTTCGAGTCCTGGACCCAGAGTTTTGAAACTCAGGCCAGGTACATGTCTGTGTGCCCAAAATCCTGAGGGGAGAATGGAGAAGGGTTTGCGGTGTGGCCATCCTTCCAGGGGATGATTTCTCACTTTTTGTCTGTCTGTCTTTCTGGCAAGTACATGTACCCTATAGTTAGGATGGCTCTGAGAGGGACAAGGCTGTTGATGATCAGAATATTCAGTAAAGTTTGATTTGAGCTGATCATGGCAAAAGAAAAACATGTGATTATGTATGGCCGAAGGAGGAAAATGCCGTGAGTGGAAGACAAAACTCAGGCAAGTGGCTCTGAAGACAGGAATTAATGTGATCTGTCTGGTGGAGGCACAGTTAGCTTACGCGTGTGGTTTAGACTGTAAGAGGGCTTGTGTGGGGCAATGATGATAAATAAATTCTGAGTGCAATGAATACTTTTCTGAAAAAAATAAGATGATAAAGCTATTAATTTGACTGAATATATCCTTTTCACTCAATTCAGTTTTCTTATTGATAAAATGGCTGAAATGATATTAACTTAGATGTATAGAGACAAAAATAATCAGCATCTTGTCAGTAAAGATACGGAGCAATATCAGAACCTTGGGTATTTATTTCTCTTTTTTAAGGTTTTTGCCATAGGTCATGTGCCAGTAAGACAGAGATAGAGGGAAAGTGAGAAATCACCCCTTGGGGGGCGGTGTCCACAATTTCTTCTTCTCCATTCTCCTTCTGTGATTTTGGGCATGTACGCATGATTTTCAAGTTTCCAGGCCCTGGACTTGGACTGTAGTTGGCCATGTGGGTGTCCAGTGCCTTAACCTCCAGCCTACCTGGTGGCCCCAGAACCTCAGGCTCTGATCCCAATGCTGCTGGCATGTCAAATCCCGCACACTCACCTCACTGGTAGCTGGCATCATGCTGGTGATTCTCTGAAGGTTCAGTTAGCTAACTGTGAGACGAGTCACTAAGCCACTTTCTCCAAAGAACCAAAAATGCTTCTGGGAATGGGTCCTTGAAGAAGTTATTCGGAAGCTGAAAGAAAACAGTATGTGTAAAAGAAGAGTAGAGGCCAAATTGCACAAGTTGTACCTGTCACAAAAATAAGAGCATTTTCAGCCAAACTGAAACATTAATCACACTAAAACTTCAAATACTTATGTGTATTTGTACTACACGTTTCTGTACTCATAGAAGAGAGAGAGACAGCCAACAGAACAGGAAATAGATGCTTTGCTAGGTTTATGTTTTGTTATGATATATTTATGTTATTATAAGCTTCTCTGCATTGTTGGGAACCAAGTGGACCTCTTAAATGACCCCGTCTCCCAACCTGTACTTGGGCAGGTGGGTTTCTTGTTAGTATACATTTCCATGCACAGAGGTGATGCCCGGCCTGGCCCATGTGCTGTGCTGTAGATGATTCGGGGTGAGCAGAGCAGTCTCGGTCCCTGACCCTGAGCTCCCTGGCTCACTGGAGATGCTGATACGACATTGTTTGAATGAAAACAGACTTGCAAACTGTGATTAGATACAAGATGCCTCAGGGCATTTATGAGAGTATTGAATTGAGACTGTGTGGTATAGGCTGAATGGAGGATGAAGTGATGTTGGATTTGGAGTTAAATGCAGAGTTGCCGTTAGCTAGATCAGGTGTGTGGAGAAGGTACCTCCCAGGAGGGTAACCCATATGCAAAAGTCCTGGGGTGGACGAAGCAGGGTGTGTATGAGCAGTCCATAGTGAGGATTAGGAAAGGGGTGACAGAGAGTGAGGTTGTGGGTGACAAGGAAGGAAAGTGGCCTAGAAGCTGGACACCAGGCTGAAGAGGTTTAATCTTTAACAGCAAATACTCAAAATGAAGATATGGTTATTATGAGCCACCATGCCTCTTATAACTGACCTTCAAAATATGCCTATTTTTAAATGTCATAAAAACATGACGATAGGGTTATAAAACCATAATTTCAAAAAGTTATTTTATCCTTTTTAAATTTATTTTTTAGAGAGCTTTTTGCTATAGTGTATATGCACTCGCCAGAGAGACAGAGAGAGAGAAAGCAAGAAATCACCCCCTAGAGGGGATGGCCATGCCACAATCCTTTCTCTCTTTCTCTTCTCAGGATTTTTGGCACACGTGTGCCCAGAATGAGTTTTAAGCTGCTGGATCCAGGACTGAAATTGTGGTCACTACATGGGAGTTCAGCAATGTAACCGTTACGTCATCTGCTGGTCCCAGGAGCGATTTTCAATAACACCAAGAAAGAGTACACAGAATGAGGATGAGAGTATGAGAGACAGTGAGAGGGGAAGAGAGACCATGTCTCTTTTCAAACATCCAAAGAACTTTAATGATAATTAAATGCCAAAATGATCAATAATATCCCTAAAACAAAAGATCTACAAAGCACTTAAAAAAATCATAGTGTAATAAAGGAAGAAACCAAGAAGTTTAAATAAATCAAACAAAAAACAAAAGGGAGGAAAGAAAATCTAACCAGAAGAAAACTTAAGAGAACCCTGTTCTAATTTATGGGTCAAAACCTTAAATCACAGGGGAAAAAAAAGAAAAAAAAGGATTGTTATAAAACAATAAAAAAAAACCTTAAAATTATACAAAATAATAGATAATTATACTATAGTTGAAAGTAAGCACATAACTTGCCTTTAAGTAGTTTATTTAAAAAGAAACACTAAAATGACCAAATTATTTCCTGAAATGAAGAGAAACAGACTACTTTAAAAGAAAACTGGTATCAAATAATAAAGATAAAAGCAAAAATCACTGAATTGGAAAAAAAAAACACACACTGCAGAATCAATGTAATGCCTTGTGTTTGGAAAAAAGAGTTTTTAAAATAAACAGACTTTTGATGAATATACTGTAGTGAAGTACAAGGAAAAGGAGCACTGAAGAAAAAGTGTGGACTATATTAAAAATTCGAAGAGAATACTCATCTTAATGTTTTTGGCCCAAGATGATCCCAGGTTGCTTGGGGTCAGCTGGTATATGTTACCCATGCATGGGCTTCACACTAAGTAGCCTCTTTGTTAATGCCTTAATAACTATTGTTTGGAAGGATTAGATGGCTAGTGCGGTGATAATGCAGAATGGACACATGTAGGAAGGTCCCTGGTTCAAATCCAGAGGCCTCTGGACATGTTGGCCATGTGTGCACGTGCCTATGATCAAACTGGCTGTGGTAGATCATGGTGTGACATCTCAGCTGGGGGTCCCTGTTTCAGTCTCACAGAAGACATAAATAAATAAACTTTTAAAAAATTATTGGCAGGACCAGCAGTTAGTGTAATGGTTATGTTGCTGGACTCCTATGTAGCTGACTGTAGTTCGAGTCCTGGACCTGGTGGCTTAAACTCATGCCAGGCGTGTGTGTGTGTGTGTGCCCAAGATCCCAAGAGGAGAATGGAGGAGAAGGGATTGCAGTGTGGCCATCCCCCCTTGGGGGTGATTTCTTGCTTTCTGTCTCTCTGTCTCTATCTTTCTGGCGAATGTACATGCCCTATAGCAAAAAAAGAAAAAAGAAAAAAAGAAAAAAGCCTCAAATATATATATATATATTGAGGATTGGGCCAGCCAGTTGGTGTGGTGCTTTAGACACTTGGATCCCACATGACTGACTGTGTGGTTGGAGTCCCAGACCCCACATCTTGACAAACATTCCAGGTATGTGTCCCAAATCCTGAGAGAAGGATGGAGGAAAAGGGATTGTGGTGTGGTCATCTCCCCTGGGGATTGAGTTCTCATTTTCCCTCCTTCCTCCTCTCTCTTTCTCTGTCTCTCTCTCTCATTTTCCCTCCTTCCTCTTCTCTCCTTCTCTGTCTCTCTAGCAACCACACATGTCCTACTGCAATAAATAAATATTGGGGATTTTTAATAAACCCATCTAGTAGAGCCCCAGTGATTTATTGCAATAATTTAAAGCTTCAAGTGAAACAAATTATTTTTTAGAAAAATATCAATTACCAAACACAAAGAAAATTGGTTACTGAAAGAGATTGGGAACCAAGGAAATCTTAAAGTTATTAATGTGTTATTTCCAAATAGGATCAAGGACAATTCTTTTAGAGTCATTACTACACATCGGAATGCAAAACCATAATTCCCCTTGCAGTTAGTAAGTAATCTTGGGGTGGTAATTATTATTGTGTGAATATTCTGTTCCCCAACAGCCTTCCACTGAATGGTTTTGAAGACCCATTGATGACTTTTGAAAATTGGTGATTTCTTACTTTTAGCATCCCTTCCGCATTTACTGGCTCGCAGCTCTCATCTCTATTTTCATCTGTCTGTCTCTGTTTTCTTACTCTTCCATTTTGAGCACCATCAAGAATTAATGTGTTTCAAAATGTTTTAACTTATTTTAATTATGTGTAATTACCATTCCTTTTGATGCCCAAAGTTGGCCAATAGGAGCCAGTTCAAGTCGATTTTTTTGTGTTGTTTTGACATAACTAATGCACCATTAGCACTTTCTTGGTTGGAAAAGTTAAATGTTTCAGGCTGATTCCTTATTTTCTCTATGCCTTGGAGTCAACCATTGGTCTGAGGAGACTGGTACCTTTTAATTAGTGACAGTATTTAGAACCTGTTAGAAATGGGTCCTGGATAGGAGAACCTGTGTCGGAAAAGCACATTCCATGTTTATTGTAGCATTATTCACAATTGCTAGGACATGGAAGCAACTCAAATGTCCCAGAACAGATGAGTGGATTGAAAAAATGTGGCACATGTACTCTATGGTTTACTACTCAGCCATAAAAAGCAATGAGACCCTGATCGTTGACATAAAGTGGACTAATATGGAAGATTTAGTAATCTAAGTAAAGCAGACTATGAAATACAGACTATGAAATATAACATACACTGTGTGTTCCCACTCAATATATACTGAATATCTGAACTCTAAAGCAGAAATGATAAGGTTGGAAGGTATAATAGCAAGGGGGCAATCGTAGATACTAGAGACCATATAGGAGGAGGTGAGTATAGAGGGTGGGAAAGAGGGGATCAGGGAAAAAACAAAACATGTATGTAATAGACACAAAAAATGAAAAGTTATCTGTTGATGATAATGTATATGGAAATGTCTTTGACTTGACTAATATGCAGTACATTCATGCTGAGAAAAACATGGTGTACACTGTAAAGATGGCACTGATTAAGTGTAAATTAACAAAGCAATGGGACCTGTGGTGCACTCATTGCTATTGAAATATCCTATCTTCTCAGCCTTTACTTAGAGTTAGGGGATACTTTTTAAAAAAAGAAATCTCAAGTTTATACTGATGATATGGATATTTTCATTCACCTTGAATGTAATAGAGTTTATCTTAACTTTTCACAATTTTATGTTTGTATCAGCTTTCTCTTAGAGGACCTTGACATATTTATTTACCTACTTTCTGTTACACAGAGGGACTTCAAAAGTTTGTGGACTTTTTTTTTTCCCCCATACCATGGATATAATTTATTTGCTGATCAAAGTGTGTGGGAAATTTTAAGTAAAAAAAACAATTTAAGTGAGAGAAGAATGAAGAGTCATTTAGATAAATGATAAGCTCGTTAAATGAAAGAGCCTGTCTTCTTGAGTTACTGTGAATTGCCTGGTTACTTTTTTGGTTTCCTGATATTCTTTGCTTTGAATTGTTCAGCATTAATTGGGGGGAGTCTTTCTGAGTTTTATCAGTTTCCTATCAAATCCTTGAAAGACACAACAATCACTGAGATGATTAAGAAAATAAGATGCATTACCATAATGGACACAACCTGAACTGAGGAGGGCAACTGCACTTTTAGCGGTCCTGGAGGCTCACTGTCAACGCTTTCTCCCTACCTCACAGAATGGAGTGGCCTAGCAGTTAGTGTAATGGCTGTCGCTGGACTCCCATGTAGTAGACTGCAGTTCGCGTCCCGAACCTCATGGTTTAAAACTCACGCCAGGCACGTGTGCGTGCGTGCCCAAGATCCCGAGAGGAAAATGGAGGAGAAAGGATTGCGGTGTGGCCATCCCCCCTG